TATTAAAATGATTTAGAATTTCCCTTCTCATACTCATACCAGTATTGTATTCATTCAGTGATACCATGGTTGGCGATACTGAAAAAGAAGTAATTAAATAATAAATGTTCAAAATTCATAGGTAAAAATGTACTTTACTTTAGGAAGCACTTAACTCTCTTCAGATGAATTCATGTTAACTCAACCAAAAACTGGTATTCCTGAATTGTTAAAAAAAAAAGTGCATGCTACAAATTTCTGCTGGGAACATCAAAACCTGTGCTTATGACATGATCCTGGAACTACATTTCTATGACTTATAAAAGAAATTAGGCCCTACACTCAAAGAGCTGATGATTAAATATTGTAGCTTTAAAAAAATCAACACGCTGCAAAACATCTGTATTTTATAGACACAAATTTCAAGAGATAGAAATGATTACAGGCCTTTAATGTTAATAAAGATGCAGAGATGCTGCTAATAAAGGCTACTTTATTTTTAAAAATGTTTTTTAAAAAAGTCTACCTTTAATGAGCTGATTTTTCTAAAGCTTTTTTAAAAGGTTAACAAATAGAGAGTTAACTTTCAAAATAAGTTCAAAGATCCTTCTCTAAATGTGCGTTTTTTGTTTACCTGGAACACAGATCGAAATACTACAACATTGCCAAGGGAAAATAGGCCGTTTTCCTAGTTATGTATAAACATCTTTAAAAGTATGTTTTGGGGGTCTTTCAATTTTATTATCAATTTGTTTTCGCTAAAAAAAGAGCACAAGCTGTCCATTAAGAAAAAGAAGAAGAGCAACTGGAGTTTATGTAAGAACAGCTGCTTCTATTCTCCATGTCAATTGATACACAGAAATCTCCCTCTCCAAAGAAAGAAAATTAATATTTTTAGAACAGTCAGCATTTCAAATATATGGTTAGTGTGACTACAAAGTTCTTAAGCTTTTTACCTGTTACCAATAGGAAAAGAATGTTACCATTTATAATGGGTTGTTCTGTGAAGAGTGGTGTCTGCTTACATCACATCACGTCAAAGGATTTGCAATGACAATCGGATTGGCTTAAGCTGAAACAGCCCAATTACTAGTAAAAACTGCCTCAGGCTTGAAGAGGCTACAGACTAAATATCTATGATATTATGGTATGTGCATCCTTGAAAAGACAATCGAAAAGTGAATAAGACAAATGTTGAAAATGTACTCTTCAGCATCATTTCAATGTATTTCTACTTTTCATCCATATACACATTTAGAAGGCAGGATTAGACCCTGCCAACTCTATCAACATGGTCAATGGCTAACGAGCACTGGCCAAGACAAATATTTACTATTAGGACATATAGTAAATATTTTTTAAAAATCAGATAAAATTAATTCAAACCTTCAGTTTTTTATACATCCATTTTGACTATAAATTAATGGGAGTCTTGAGAAAAATCAAAATCAATGTGTAGAAAAGTAATCTTATTTTAAGTTTATGGGCTCTTGCATTATGCTGCTTTATTAGAGAAGGAGATTACTTGCCTAAATTGTGCCTGTTAGATTTTATATTAGTCCTAGAAGGGAAGATTATATTACTGTGTGTGTCTATGACTATGGTAGAATCATAAAACCCTAAGCACATGGATAAGCCAATGGAACCTTCTTTTCTGATGGCAAAATGAGGAATCACATTCCAGATATATGAAGAGGACCTTTACCTCTCTTTTGTCAGTGGGTCCTTAACCAGGAATTGGATCAGAGAGGTGGGACAAAGGCTTCTGATTTGCTGCAACAATTGTGAAGAGATTTCCCAATACAGACCAGACGTCCATGAAGAATTCAATAGAAAATAAGAAATAAAAGTGGCTCCTTTTTAAAATTCATTCATTCATTTAGTCATTTATTCATCTTTTTAATTATTCAGCCCTTATTTTTTTCAAGGATTACACAGCAATAGAAAAGATACTAAGCACTGGAAATACAAGTCTCTGAACTACTTTGGATATAGAGATAATAATAAAAATGAAACAACAAGATACAGATTGATAATGGATTAGCCATAGTGTCAAAAACTACAGGAAATACACTTTCTAGAGAGGAAGAATGCCCAGTTGGAGACGGAGCGTAGCATTCCTGAAGTCAACCAATAAAGTGGGTAAGTATTTCATAAAGCATATTGAAAGGAAGCAATGTTGTCAGAATTCAATTCATAAAGGCTCCGTACTTAAAAATTTCATAAATCATAAAGGCTCAGTACTTAAAACTTTAGTAACTACATAGGTGAAGAATAAAATTTAGTTTAGAAGTTCTCGTGAAAAAAATGGGAGTCTCTTCACAAAGCATCGTGGAAAAATTAAAAGATACCTTGAGGTGCTTCTAGAAAGTAATATAATTTCCTTAACTAGAATATTACTGCAGTTCAGGACAATTAAACAGAGTTCAATAGAAACTTTTAGAGTTCTTCATAAATATTTGTGTGTATAATTCTCGGTATGAATGTGCATGCATGTATGCCTCCAATCTTCCCCAATACCACTTTCTCTCTTTATAAACTTACCTGTTATCAAGATGAAGAAAAAAAGCAAAAACAATTATAGACAGTAGAAAAGAAATCCAATATTTTTATTTTAAGAGTAACAGAAACCATCAGTAATGACTAAAATCGTTATCCACTCTGAAGAAGCTAGACAGATTCCTGATTACCTCAATACAATCCACTTTATCTGTTTTTGAATGATTCAAAAACTGTCTAGGGCTAGAATTTTTTTTAGACATCCAATGGTAGTTTTTGGGTTTCTTCCCTTCTTTTTCCACTGAGAAGCAATTTAATGTTTTATGTTTTTGGTTTTCTCTCTTTGTTCACACTACAGCAGGCAGGTTCCATGCTCAGCAATGCTGTCTCTGAGACATATATAAGCATAAATGCCCTTTAGGAAATTCCTAAATGTTTTTAGCATATTCCCCAAATATCCTTTCTCTTCTTTCCAAAGTACCTTTTTGGATTTAAATGAGCCCATTTTTATAAGAACAATAACTTTCCCAATGATATTTATTGTAATGTAAAAACTACAGTTTCCAGAATATATAAACAATCCCCATTGAGCAACATAGAGTCATTAGTTCCAGATAGCAGGTGTTCTTTATAAGCCTTTAACTCTAAAGTTTGTCATTTCATTACCGTTTGAGAAATGGTTAGACTGTTTATCTGCTGTTTTCACTCAATGGAAAATTATAGAAAAGACCAACATCACTTTTTACAAATAATATTCATCATGGGTGAATATAACACAGATGGTTTTAATTATTTCAATTACTTATATTTCTAAAAGTAAGTTGCATACAATCACATGTACATTTCTTTCTTCTATTACTCTTTTCTTAATATTTGAGTTTACAAGTAATGACTTGAATTCAAAAAATATTATCAAAAGAAAATGAAAAGGTTGTATAAATGTCACTGCCTTGCTGTGACTTTTACGTACTCTTGCTGAACTCAACTCTATGAACATCTGGACTGAGTTTCCACTGTAAAGGGAAATACATCTGTGTGTGAAATAATGTGACTGGCAAACAGCTTCTTGACTTAGAAGAGGCTTGAAAATGTTTCGAAAAAGTCCTTCCCTAATCACACATTTATACATGCTTTCCTTTCATTTTTCTTTTCTATGCAGTAATGCTGGATCTTAAGAAAGTTCATATTGTTCATTCCCTTCTTCATCTATAAAAAGAGTTTTCACAGCCTCATAGAAACTTTCAGAAATCAGAGTATGACATTTAGAACTCAAACACCCTTTTCTAAGTCATATAATAGGTTAAAATGTAGAATATAGAATGTGTGCATGGATTTTTGTTTTTTATGGGTTACGTAATAATGTCGTTGTGACCATAAGACATACATATTAACTATCAAAAATAAAACATTAAAATATATTCTACCAATGCAGTTGAATTACTGTTATATTAATTTATGCTTTGGTCTCTTTGTCTAGACTCTGAGATCTTAAGGCAATCCTGTGTCTTGCTCCTGTTTGTATCTTCTCATAACATTTCATTTTTTTTCCTTAAAAAATAATGTAATGTCTCAGAGATTTTTTTAAAATAAGTAATATGGCTGTTGGAGAAATACTATAAAATTATAAAGAATAAAATCACAATCATGCCACCAGCAAAAGGATTTTCTCACAGTTTTTTTCTTTTTAAATGACATTTTAAATTCTTTAAAGAAATTTTTTACTACTTTATTAAAATTTTTATTTTATTTAAAAATTCTTTTCAAATAATTTTTAAATATAAATGTGTTATAAAAATTTAGAAAATACAGAGAAGTGTAAGGAAAAGCATAAAATAACTCATGATCCCAACACACAGTGATAGCTAGCCTACATTTACTTTCATGTTTCCATATCTATTTTTTTCTGCAGCTAAGGTAGGATAACATTTTATTGTCCCATATTATGCACTTTCACATACCTATTGATGAGTAATTTATGTCATTAAATAGTCTTTAAAAATAAAAATTTTAATTTCTGCATAATTTTCCATCTTGTTGTTGTAGATCATGTAATCTTTTCCCACTCAGATATTTTTTTAAAAAGGACAGTAGAAAACATCTCTGTTTAAACATTATAATTTTTTTACCAACTTAGCCAGATTTATTTGTGAAACAAGGAAATAGAGGCTTACTTTTCTTTAAAATATGGGTTTTTTTTTAATTGACCTGACATATGCTAATTAAATTTGGATCTCTCTGTGTATTGTTTCCTCCATTTTTCTACCTTAATACTTGTGCCAGGAAAGAAACAAAGAAAAAGGAATATTTAAGCATTGAGATCAGTACAGTTTTTCTTATTTTAGGTGAAAATTGACTTTACAGTACAACTTTCTCAAACATGATTTTTTTTTTTTTTGCTACATTATGGTGATAAACCACATTATATTTAAACTAGTAGAATAGTAGCAATAATGAAACACTTCTAAAGCATGTTTAAAATTTTATTTTCCCTGCAGAGAAGGAAAAATATTAGAATTGTTTACCTGGGGATATGATATAAAAGAAATCTTTAAATTCATCCATCCAAACTTCTGCCAGCCTCCTGTTGTTCTTGTTGATGACATGACCAGTGCCACCAGGAAAAGTGTATGGAGTTGCTTTCCGGAAAACGTGACCAACATGGGAGCAAGTCACAATCTCCAATGAGCCTCCGCATTGCCAAATCTGGAAAAAGGAGAAATTGTTGTATAATAATCATTGTAGATAATGCAGCAATATTGTCTGAGAAGCAGCTGAAGCTAACTAAGACCAAATCTTCAGATCGTGTGTGGTTCAAGCAAACATCAGGCGAAAGCAAAATTTAGGACTAGTATACTTAAATTTGGAAAAGGATTCTAATTTGAAAGAACTATACATTTAAACATTGTAGCATTATAATTATGGAAGTAAGATGTAATTATTTTTATGTGCCATTACTAGACTACTTAATTTTCAATTTCTAGTAGTTAATTGCTGTTTAGAAGATAATTGGTATCCAAAATCTGCTGTGAATGAATGAGTTTGTACATGTTAGACATTATAGTCTATAACTAATAATTTGATTTGAAGAAAAATCAATCTGTGATACTGCATCCATCTGTAATTTTAAATGACAATTCCCAGTTGTCTCTCTCCCCTGTATATCAGGGCTTTGGATATGTTATTATTGATATTAAAATGTGCTAAGACCCTTGTATATTTGCTCAACATTTACACATCCTTCGAAGCCCATTTCAAAGATAATTTATTTTTAGTGTTTGGATTTAGTACTGTGTGACATTTGTAGTTTAAGCATGCTGTTATGAAGAATTGACTATACTATTGTAAGCAATTATTTACTTCACTATTACTCCTTAAAAATGATAAAATCTTGGAAGATATGCTGTATATTGCTAGGTATCCCAGATTTACTGTGTAGTTGAAGTGACATATTAAGCACCCATAAAACATTCATTTCTATAAAATTCTACAGTACAGCCATAGGTTATACTAATAGTATGTGTGTATGTATGTTTTATATAGATAGAAATGGTGTCTATATATTACATAAATGTTATACAGATATGATTTATATCTACATATACTAAACACACTCATATAAATTTATTATATACACATAATATATTACATATGTGCTACCGTTTTTATCCCAATAAATAAAAGTCATAGTTATTGCTATATGCAATTGGAAGGAATTGGTTATATACTGTAACTAACATTTTTCTTATTTTAAGGAGAGTTGCTTATGTTTAAAGAAAAAATTTTCTCTAATTGGTCCCTCAAATAATATTCATCCTAGAAGAGGGCTGCTATTGGGCTTGGTAGTAGTAAAAGACACTCATTTTTATCAGAAGATTAAAGATGCTAAATAACAAGTTATATATATCGATGATGGTTTGCATATTATATATACAATCTATTCTTTCTCATTTTCTAATCAACTAAACAGTATAATGCTAACAAAAGAGATGTTCCAAGACAACACTGAAATGATGGAGCAATATAAAAGAAGAATGGAATCCACAATTCACCTCAAAAGACAGATATTTCATTCTTATATAACCAAAGTGTTTAATAAATTGGCAACTTTCTCATCTTTCTAGCATGAAATCTATAAACCTTGTAATTAAACAAATCTTTACATTTTTTCCTTACTATTAACATAGAGGAAGTTGATCTTTTTCCAAGCAAAGACAAATCAATATTTGTATGTCAGTCTAGATCATATCCCTAAGTCTATCTTAAGGACTTCACTGGTTTGGTCCTCTCTTTGATCTTCTCCTGAAACAACAATGGTTTCCCTCATTACTAGATTATGTGTATTTCCACACACTCTCTTACCTTTTGAATACATTAAAAATAAACAAATTTTCAAAATTATAAAACACAACAAAAACATTATCCCTTGGTTCATATTCCCATTCAAAATATCTCATTTTTATGCTTCCCCTCATTGTAAATTAACATAAAAGTTGTACTGATATATGTTGTTTCTTTACTTCAATTTTCATCCATTTTTCTACTCATTGTGAAATGCTGTTTATCTCTACAGCCCCTCCCCCCCAAATTGCCATGGTGAAAATCACAAATTTTTCCCTTAATGAATATCTAGTAGACTCCTTTCTTGGATTCTCTTGCTTTCTTTCCTACTACTTTACCGTTCATATGTTTTCACTGTAAATTTCTGTTTAAATGCTGGCCTTCATCTTTCCTTATTTATTAGCCAGGTGGACTTCTTTGTTCTTATTACTTTACATATGATCTGAATACTCACAACCTCGACAGTGACATCTCAGCCCAAACCTCTCCACTGGGATTCAGACTTGTGAATCCAAACTTCTACTTTATTCTTCTTTTTACATATTTCAGTGACATCCGCATAAACATGTCTGAAGTGGAATTGTTGAGTCATCCCTAATTTGTCAGCCAGGTCTTAATATCTTTCAGTATTTTTTTTTAATCATCTGTAAATGGTGAAAGGTGCCACCATTCACCCAGGTAGTCAATCCAAAAAACAAAAAACAAAAAAGAATCTAGAGGTCATCATTGATTTTTCATTTTCTTTCATCTCTTATATTCAATCCTAGTGGTGTTATCTATAAAATAATTCTGAGTATATCCATCTCTCCTTGTCTCTACTGCCACTATCCTGGTCCTAATCACCAACATCTCTTGTCTGTCAGTTGCAACAAACTCTTGTCTTGTTGCTTTTACTGTTGCTCTACTATAATTTTTTTCTACTGAGAAATCAGTGGTCTTTTAAAACTTTAATCATTTCATTTTACTTTCCTGCTTAAATCCTTCAGTGATTTCTCATTTCAGTGTGAATATAAGCAAAATCCTTCATCAGGACCCCTAAAACACTACATTATTCTTTCCTTCTGTCAATAAACACTGGTGATATTGGCCTTCTGCCATTTCCCAGAATAAAAAGTTTTTTACTCTTTCACACACCAAACCCTCAACATGTGCTTTCTCTGTACCTGGAATACAATCTTGTCTGCCCTTGACCTTACTGCTTCTTTCCCATACTTCTCATCTCAGCTAAAATACCACCTCATCAGAGATCTTCCTAATTGCCATATTTAACATGGCCCAACCATTATTTTCTCTAGTAACACCCTGTTTATTTCCTTCATTGCTCATCACAATCTGCAATTTATTTGTTGGCTATGCACTTTTCCCCGCAACTAGAATGTGGACATTAAAAGGGTAGTGAATATATCTAGTCAAAGTTGTATCCCAGAGCCAAGCATGGTGCTTGTTACACAGTAGGTGTTACCGCATGTGGGTTGAATGAAGAACTGCCAACTCAAAATTAAGTACCGAGATTAACATAAAAAAGGCATCCCTGGCAGAATGATAAGATTTAAATAGACATATTTTGGAGACATTTTAAGTTGTATTTTTTAAGGAAATATTCTTAGGATCAAACTAGGCAGAGTAGTTTAGTAAAATGACATGCAACCACTGTTAGACATGCCTCGGGAATTGGGGAAGTTCTTTGGAGGTCACAACATACAAACAAACATTAGAAATGATTGATGGTTTATGAGAAACAATGTTGCTAAATAATGTAACCTTAATTTTTAAGGTCTTATCAAAGTAATGATTTAGCTAACCTCATACTATCTCTTAACAACATGATTTAGGTAAGTACTCAGGGTCAGGAATTGTACTATGATCAGGCCATTCAACAAGAGACTCAAATTCAGAAGAAATAGCATATGACATGTTATACTTGAAAGGAAATTAAGATCTTCCCTTTATTGTGAGGGATGCAGTATTAGTGGTGCTTACACTCCTCTTCAATGGATTAGACGTGAGTGAAGAGTTTCCTTCTTCCTTCACACAGTCATAAAAGAGAACTAGGTTATTGAAGGAGAGACTAGCATTTCACTCCCTGCTAGATATTTACTGAGCAGGAAAATTAACAGACTACCATAGTGCTGCCATCGGAACACAGCAGAATACAGTGAGTGAGTATGTGAGAAAGCCTCAAGTGTGGGGAAAAGCATGACCCTAATAAAATGGGGACCACTTCTGGTCTAGAGAATCCTGAAGGTGAGTTGGAGCTTATTGGACAGCTTCTTCCAACAGAATTGATAGGTCTAGTTACGCAGTAACTCTGGGAGGGAGTGGTCTTTGGAAACAAGTATAGAAGACATTAGTTGTTCCCAAACTCTATAAATCATGGAATATACAAGAGAAAAAGTGAGCTTTGGGACTAGCAACATGGGAGATGAGCAAGGAGATATACCATGGAACTAAGAAATCTTTCAGGGTCAGAGAGAGAGACTAAGGTTCCCCTCTCCAAAAGTCCCTTGAACAACAGAGAAATAGGTAGTGAAACAGAGAAACTTTTAAGTAAACAATGAAACCTTGTGTAGAAGACTATCACATGGATAAAGGCCACAGGTAGTGAGTACAGCCATACTGAGACAATAATAGGTCACCATCGTAAAACATGGTATAAGACTGCCATTGCTCTAGCCCTCCTGTTTGACTCTACGCATTGGGAACAGGCAGCCCAGAAAGCACTTCCATTACCCATTCCAAGCACTTCTACAGCATGGACCTGGAGAGAGAGGAGAATGTGAGCTATGTATTGCTTATAAAATCGAAGCTTTAAACTGAATATTACTAGTATTTTTAATAATTGCAGGTGACCAGAATGCTATAGACACTGCCCCAAATGAAATTAGGAGTAGAAGGAAATATTCTTCAGAACCCGAAGCAGTGACTGGAATAAAAAAAAAAAAAAAACCCACAATGTTAAGTTTGTACCCCACTAAATTCAAACTGTACAGTAAGCTCTGTGGCATATAAACTAGTGATTGACAACTGTCCTCATGGTTCCCAATTTGCCTTTTTGCAATTATGGATTAGCACTGGGGTTGTGTAAGTGAGGGAACTTTTTCCATTCTGCCACTTCTTGGCCCTACCCTGGTTTGTAGGCTTATGGCTTCTATGCCCTAAACATGCACACAGAAGAGAGAATATTTAA